CAAGAAACAAGAAATTAAAACTTTAAATAATGATTAATGAGATCAAAATTTAAGGTTAAAATTTAGAATTAATAACATAACATAAATTATATTATTTAAATATTAAAAATAAACTTTATATTATGTAATAATTATTTTTTTACTTATAATATTATATACATTAACTAATTTAAAAATATAACTTATACTATATTATTAACTTTAAATTTTCACCCTAAATTTCTCTCTCTTTCTCCTTAGTCTAAAACTTTATATACACACACCATACTAAATAATAATGGCAACGGCAGAGGCTCAATCAGCTCTGCGTCAGGAGTCAGGATGAATGTTGAGTGGGATAAGTAGGAGTGCTGGGTGCACGTTCGTGATTTGGGAGACAGGAACAAAATTTCTCTCATATAAAGCCTTTTACCACCAGCCTTTCACTCTTACCAAGCTCCTCTACCTCCCCAAAACCTCTATAAATACCGAAGCAATATGCACACATCTTGCACATTCAACGAAAGCTGGGATCAAGTTAAGTACTGCTGAAGCAAAATTTCAGTATCATCCCAAAAAACTCAATGAAAGCCCTAGGGTTCAATTTCTAGTCTTTCCACATATACACCAAAAAAACTTAGTATCATCCCTCACTCTCCAATTCTATCTCTGCGTTGTAAGGAAGAAAAGAAGGTGTAAGGACAGGGCCGAGGTGCCAAGCCTCGGACTGCTACAGTAATTCCTTTATGACCGAAGTGAGGAATAAATCCAAAGCTTCCCGCTCAAATAGCTGCATGACAGTGACAATAAGCATGCCCGCACCTAATTCCTTATGATGAGCGGCACAGCAAGTATGGTAGACATCCGTATATATGAATACCTCTCAAATTCCCGGTCTCGAAATAATCGTCTGGTTGGACACGTCAGGCTCCGATTATCTTGCTTGGCATGCCACGTGGGCTCCTCTTTGGATCCTATAAATACCCCCCCCCGGGCCACGTCAAAAAGGTAATTGAAACCTACCCTAAGCTCCTTTTATCTCCGCTCCAGAGGTAACCCCGATTATTGCTGACTTAAGCATCGGAGTGTCTACCCCGAGGTCCACCTCGGGTCTTTGCAGGTCATTCCGGAGTGCAGTTGCGGACTAAGGAAGGACTTCTGGTTTGTTGCAATTACATTGGCGCCGTCTGTGGGAATCGAACTGAAAGCTTTCTAGTTGCTCTTCCATCATGGTTCACACTTGATCAGTCCGAGTTGGTAATTCATCTCTGCCTCTTGGGCAAGGTCAACCCCCTAACAACCTTCCACCTCTGATCCCACCTCAACTCCCAACTCAACTTCCACCTCAGCTTCCACCTCAGGTCCCAATTATGTTCCCTCCTATTGATCATGCAGAAGGAGGAGATGAAAATCAACCTCATACCTCAGCTCACAATTCAACCTCCACTGCCAATCAAGACATAGTGACAGCTCAGCTTGTTGCCATGCAACAGCAGTTCGGTGTTTTTCAATTGGTACTGGCTCAGCTTTTAGCCAGAAATAATCCTGGTGATCCCCTCATCAATTTACTGAATCTTGCTCAACAACCCCCAGCTCCACAGCCGAATCCTCAACCGGTTCATCATGCTCCCGCTATTAGCGAATCTCAGGGCCAATCCCACATAGCACCCGCTCCACAACCCATCCCTGATGATGTTACTCGCCGCCTCGATAGCTTGGAAAAGCTAGTAGCTGAACACCGAGATGCACCACCCCCACATCATGCTGCTGACTCTATACCTCACCCTCTGAATACCAACATTACTTTGGAGCCCTATCCTGTTGGCTTCAAGATACCACAACTGGAGACTTATGACGGGACGAAGGATCCCGATGACCACTTGCATGCTTTCTACTCTTGTATGCAAGCTCAGAACGCCTTTGACGCGTTGATGTGCAAGATCTTCCCCTCTACTCTTCGAGGTAATGCCCGAACTTGGTATTACAGTTTACCTCCGAGGTCAATTAGCTCGTATATAAAAATGGCATCTGCCTTTGCTACTAAGTTTTCCAGTAGAAGGTTGATTAGGAAAATTACTTCTGAGTTGATGCGGGTTAAACAGAGAGATGGAGAATCACTGAAGAACTATATGAGCAGGTTTAATGATGCAGTTTTAGAGGTCAGTTCCTTTGATCAGGCTATGGGGATTGCTGCTGTGATCTCCGGTCTTAAGCATGACAGGTTCAGAGACAGTTTGATCAAACATGCTGCCACTACCTTCAGCGAGGTGAACGATAGGTCTCTCAAGTTCATAACCGCTGAGGAGTATGCCCTGGCGCAGAATCCGACTCCTTCTAAGAACTTGAACCCGGAATGGAGAGATGACAATCCGACCCGGAAAAAGATGAGAATGGCGCAAAACCGAGGTTCGATGTTGACTTCCCCACCGAGATTCGGAAGGCCAAACTCAACACCCCAGCAACAATCTGCAGGTAAACCCCCAGTTAACTGGACTCCCTTTAATCTGCCGAGGTCACAAATTTTTATGCAGATTAAGAATAAGATGGATTTAAGGCGTCCTGGCCCAATGAAAATTGCTGCTGCTAGTCAAGACCACACCAGATATTGTGATTTTCATCAAGATCACGGTCATACTACAGAGCAGTGCGACCGCTTAAAGTTCGAACTGGAAAGTTTAGCTCAGAAGGGAATGCTGAATGAGTATGTGCAGAGAGCTGAACAGCCGAGGTTTGTCAGAGAGCAAAGACCGCAGCCTTAAGGAGTCCGCAACCCCCCAAATAGACAAGGTGTGGGATATCAGCAAGCCCCACCTCCGCTCCCACCACCGGCTAGAATCATACACATGATTACAGGAGGCCTTGAAGCAGGTGGATTGAGCTCTAAGCAGCGAAAGCTGTATGTCAGAGAAGTTAAGCATCAAAACCGAGCTCAGAAGCGGAAGATTGACGATGCTGAATGGAAGAATCAACCCGTTACTTTTACATCTGCTGACCTCGACACAGTTGTTACACCCCACAATGATCCCCTGGTCACTTCTGTCATGATCAATAACTGTGAAGTACAGCGTGTCCTTATTGACACCGGGAGTGCACCAGACATCATGTATTTCCACTGTTTCGAGAGTCTTGGACTAGACCCAGCATTGTTGCAGAAGTATGATGGTCCTATCTATGGTTTCAACAACCAACCTGTTCCGGTAGAAGGAGTTCTTACCCTACATGTGGCTTTTGGGAGTGGTCGGACCTATGTAGCCCCTTCAGTCCGGTTCCTTGTCGTCAAGATGGCCTCTTCTTTCAACATTGTTATTGGCCGACCCACACTGACCGAAATCCGAGCTGTGGTTTCCCAATCTCATCTTTGCATGAAGTTCCCCACTCCTATGGGAATAGCAACACTGCGAGGAAATCAGGAGGTGGCCAGACACTGTTACATCACCTCGGTAACACAACCAACGAAGGGCAAAGATAAGACACCCGAGGTTATTCCCCAGCGAATTCCCGATAATCAGCAGGTTATGGGTGTTGAGATCGTAGATAATCGACCGGAAGATGAAACCAGAGCTGCTCCGGTCGAAGATGTTGAAGAAGGGCTCGTTGATGACAGAGATCCGAGCCGAAAGACGCAGATCGGGACTAGATTGAACCCGAAGGAGAGAGCAGAACTGATAGCTTTTCTCCGAACTAACAATGATGTATTTGCATGGACTTCTGCAGATATGCCAGGAATTCCAACTTCAGTATGTCAACATAAGCTCAGTACCAACCCATTGAAGAAACTAGTGGCCCAGAAGCGGCGCCTCTTCGGGGGGGAGAGGCTTCAGGCTATTAAAGAAGAGGTAGAGAAACTCCTACAAGTTGGTTTTGTTCGGAAAGTTGATTACTGTGAATGGGTGGCTAACCCAGTCTTGGTGAAGAAGGCAAACGGTAAATGGCGCATATGTATCGATTATACAAATCTTAACAACGCCTGCCCTAAGGATTGCTATCCGATGCCGAGCATTGACAAATTAGTTGAAGCTGCTTCAGGCAATGAGAGGTTAAGCCTCTTGGATGCATATTCTGGGTATCACCAGGTGCCGATGGCTCCCGAAGACGAAGAGAAGACCTCATTCTATGCTGGCGATGAAATTTATTGTTATGTCATGATGCCGTTCGGCTTAAAGAATGCAGGTGCTACTTACCAGAAAATGGTGACCATAGTCTTCCGAGCTCAGATCTGCAAGAATCTGGAGGTGTATGTGGATGACATTGTGGTAAAGAGTCTGAAAGCAGAAAACTATCTAGCCGACCTCGATGAAACCTTTAACAACCTCAGGAAGAACCGGATGCGGTTAAACCCAGCCAAGTGCATTTTTGGAGTAGAGTCTGGGAAGTTTCTAGGCTTCATGGTGTCCCAAAGAGGGATTGAGGTCAACCCAGAGAAGATTAGAGCAATTGCCGAGATGGAACCGCCGAAGTCAGTAAAAGATATACAGAGGTTGACTGGAAGGGTGGCAGCTCTGCATCGATTTATCTCCAGATCAGCAGATAAGTGCTTGCCATTCTTCAAAATTATGAGGACAGCCGCTCAGAAGGATGAATCAGGAAAACAGAAGAAATTTGAATGGACTCAAGAATGCCAAACTGCATTCGATGAGCTAAAGTCTTATCTTAGCTCGCCACCTCTACTGACTAAGGCTATAGATGGGGAGATTCTTTATCTGTATCTGGGAATTTCAGACGAAGCCCTTAGTTCAGTTCTAGTGAGAGAGGAAGCCAAGCAGCAGAAACCAATCTATTATATCAGCAGTGTACTGCACAGAGCAGAGCTGAGGTATCCTATAGCTGAGAAAGCAGCTTTAGCAGTTGTCACTTCGGCCAGGAAGTTGAGGCCATATTTCCAGTCACACCCAATTATCGTTCTCACAGATCAACCTCTCCGGCAGATTCTGCAGAAACTAGAGTGCTCTGGAAGATTAATTAAGTGGGCAGTAGAACTGGGGGAGTTTGAGATCACGTTTCAGCAGAGATCGGCCATCCGAGCTCAAGCATTAGCAGATTTTATTGTTGAGTGCACTCCATGTCCTTCAACCTCTAATCCAGAACCCAACGACTGGACTTTATATGTTGATGGAGCATCTAATAGCAAGGGTTCAGGGGCTGATGCTCTCTTGATCGGTCCAGAGGGATACCGAAGTGAACATGCCCTGAAATTCAACTTTGATGCGACAAATAACATGGCCGAGTATGAAGCTCTGCTACTTGGTCTACAACTAGCATTAGAGTTGAAAATCAGTGCAATTCAAATAGTGACTCCCAGCTGGTGGTGAACCAAATCAACTCTGTTTGCGAAGTCGTTGATCCTATGATGGTGAAGTATGTAGCCTTGGTGGCCGAGCTGAAGTGCAAATTCCAGAACTTCTGTCTGAGTAAAATCCCCCGAGCTGAGAATGAACAGGCAGATTCACTATCTAAATTTGCCTCTGACAGCTCTCTAAGCTCCAGGTCCGTTTTTGTAGAGGTCTTAGATGAACCAAGCTTCATGAAGCCTCGGGTGATGGAGATTAGCACAAACCCTGATGCGCCGAGCTGGACCGATTCAATTGTCTCCTTCTTAAGAGATGGGATAGTACCTGAGGACAGGCAGGAGGCAATGAAATTGAGGAAGAAAGCATCTCGGTATACACTTGTTGATGGAGTTCTGTATAAGAGATCTTTCTCACTTCCTCTTCTACGGTGTTTAAACCCCTATGAAGCTGAATACGCACTTCGAGAGGTGCATGAGGGTGTCTGTGGGAGCCATGTCGGTGCTAGAACTCTGGCTCACAAAGTCTTAAGGCAAGGATACTATTGGCCAAACATACACAAAGATGCCACTTACTTTGTTCAAAAATGCCCGAAATGTCAATTCTTCGCACATCTGACTCATCAACCAACAGAAGAACTCACGAACATAGTAGCTCCGTGGCCATTTGCCGTGGCCGAAGTGCCACATTTTGGTGCCTATATTCTCCAAGACGCTGAAGGAAAGAGAGTTCCTAGAGTCTGGAATGTGAATAACTTGAAGAAATTTTACCCCTAATAAAACTCCTTCAAGTGCTCTATGTCTTACTGTTCAGGTTCTCACTTCGTGTTTATGGAGATTTATTTTACCTCTTATTCACTTCTGTTAATAAATGTCACTTCACATTTGAAGTGCTATATCTCCTTTTTATTTGTTCGCAATGATGTACTTCTTCTTAATTCATCTGAAGTGAATTACTTTGGTTAATCTCTAAAGTGGCTTACTTCTTCTTAACTTGTCTGAAGTGAATTACTTCTTCTTAATTCTTCTTAATTCGTCTCAAGTACTCTCAGTTCTTTCATTCATAAAACATAACAAAAATATAAACCAAACATAAACAAATACATAATTTCATTAAACATAATAAAAGTGTTACAAACTGTTTAAATGTTCTACAAAAAATTAAAAACAACAAATAAAAATTAGTTCTCTGCTGGAGGAGGTGGTTCCACTAGCTCCTCTTCGGTTGGAAGAGGTGGCTGTCTTGGCTGCTGCTCGTCTGGCAAAGGAGGTTGCTCATCGTCGGAGGGAACTGGATGAATCTCCACTTCTGGAGCGGGTTGGCTCTCACCCACTTCAGCTTCCTCCACTCTTGCCTCCATCTCGCCTCCCTCTACCTCTGCCCCTTCATCCTCCACTGCCACGAACTCGAAGTCGAACTGTGGAGGAAAAACAGCACGTCCGTTTGCATCATCCTCCCACCTCAGTTTGATCTAAGGACGGAAGTCTGCTGACATGCTTTCACCATCTTCCTCCACTCCTTCTTCTTGCTCTCCGAAGGTGATCTTCGTAATATCCACTTCGGGATATTCTGCCTTCACCTTCTTCCTGCAGTACGTGAATGCGATGATGGCAGTTGGCAGCCGGTATAAGTTGACGATGTTGTCAAACGAGCTGGAGCTGATGAAGTTGCCGATGTGCTCCTTCATCCCATTGTGCACTAGGGTCTGCACATTCCCCTTCAGCTCCAAGAAAGCCTCCTTCGTCAGCTTTAATTCTTGTGCCAGAGCCTCACGCTCGCTTTCAGAGATCTTTCGCTTGGTCTCTTCAAAGCCGAGCTTGGTGCCCAAGGACGACCTCTCCTGTTCCAACTGCTTCACAGTTGGAACCACCTCATCCAGAGACTCTTGCAATTCTTTGTTTTTCTTCTCCAGCTCCTCCTTCTCCTTCTGCAGCTGGTCATACTGCCTCTGCAAGAGTGCCCGCCCCTTCAGGCTCTCCCTGAACTCCTGGGCTAGACCATTCACCCAGCTCGCGCTCTACAAATCAAAGCAGAAGTTCAAAGAGAAAGAAGAGAAGCAGAAACAAAATAAATAAACAGCGACACTAACTTAACGTACCTCAAGAGCGTGCTTCACAATAGATGCTCCCCCGTACCTCAGAGCTTCCTCCCGCGCATTGCGCTTGTCCACTTCGGGGAAGGTGTTGTTGATGAACCACCTAGCCCCCATCACGTTTTTCGCCTCGAACAGGCTGCTCTGAGACACCGCGGGGGAAACAGGGCCCTTCCCCTAACCAGGAGCCCGTACCTCAGCCCCCTCCTCCAACCGTCTGAGCTCGGGGTCCAGCTCAACAGCAGGAGGCTGAGGTATGAATTCAGGAACCTCGTTCCCCTCATCCTCCTCCACCACCTTCTGCTTCTTCTCTGCTGCCCTCCTCTCCTCCCACCCCTTCCTCTTCAACGGTGGCACATCGTCCTCCGTCTCAGCTGAAGCCAGGGGCATTACCTCCCTCTCAGCTCTCCCCTCATCCACTTGCTTAGTTAAAGTCCTTGACTTTTTCCTTGGCTTCTTGGGGATGGCCTTCCCTCCAGCAGTATTCAAAAATTGATTCATGTCAGCTGCAAAGGAAGAAACACAATATTAGTCACAATTCTATGTTCTACATTTAACGCTACAGTATATGTCAAACAAACCTTCACTCAGAGCGCTTGGCCCATAGAGCTCAGCAGCCTCTATGCATGCTGCGCTGGTGAGGTCAATGATATTCAACACATCCCCCCTCTTCCTCACCAACCTCCCCACTTCTTCCTCCTCATCCTCATTTAAGCTAAACTTATTCTGGTTGGCCCTTTTGGCCTTCCAGGAGGATAACGCCCTCACCTCGGCATCCCCTTTCCCCCATTCCGTGTCGTCCACAAAAAAGAATTTTTCTTTCCATCCCTTAATGGATGAAGGACCCGCCGTGAATAAAATCCTACCCTCCTTATTAGCTACCCCCGGGGTGAAATAATACCACCCCTTATCTCTCCTGCTACCCCCCTTTAAAACAAAAAAATACTTAAACATATTTACAGTTGGCACGCTAATCCCCTGAGCTCGGCAATAAACTAAAAAACC